AATCTAAAAGCAAACGCGGAACCGGGGTCATGATAAGAACCTTAATTGAGTTATTCTCAACAAAAAAATAAGAAAAACCAGATAAAAAAAATAATTTTTTAATAAGACCTTCCTAAATAAACTCTATTTTGGGCTGCCGACTGGCAAAAAAGACATTTTTGCGACGCAGCCACTTGCTCCTCTCCTGCAATACAACGAATACTATAAGAGGGTACCTTTTCCTTAATTTTCAATTCACAATCTAAATTATTACAAAAAGGAACCAAAAATAAGCCCTTACTTCCATCTTTTTTTTTTTTCTCTAATTCGGCCAAATTAGCGACTGAAAAAATGTGCTTGTTGCGAAACTCCACACTTTTTTGATAGAGATTTTTTTGTAATTCTTGAGTTTCTTGGCTGATAATTCCAAAAATTTTTCCGGCCCTCTGACCTTGCCTAAATGGATTAGCCACTTTTGCTTTTTCAAACTCTTTTTTGTTTTCTTGGTTAATCTCGCTCATTTCCTTCCAGTATTTTTCAGTGGCCGTAATGTATTTTTTTTCTAACTCATTCTCTTCCAATTTGATAGTAATTTTCCTTTCCACATTGTCCCTCCTTATCAGAGTAATTTCTTGGTGCTCTAATTCATGTTTGCCGATAATCATTTTGAACGGACAGCCCTCTTGGTCGGCTTGGAGCACATTTGCATTAACTTGTTCATTTTTATTATACAACTGACAACGATAATGACGACTTAATAAACCATAAATCTCTTGATAGTAATTAATTAATTCTGGGCTTTCCCCAATAAGAATAAATGCAATTTGAACGGGGGCAATCTCAAAAGGTAAAATTAAACCTCACTGGTCGGCATGGGCTTTAACCAGAGCACCAATGGCTCTAGTAGAAGTGCCCCAAGAAGTAGAAAAAGGATGCTCCATTTTGTTGTCTTTGTTTTGAAACTTTACTTCCATTAAACGACAAAAATTATCCCCAAAATAATGACTAGTGGCTAATTGTAAGCATTGACCGTCTGGCAGTAAGCATTCCACTGTATAGGTTTCCAGAGCACCAGCGAATTTTTCCCCGGCTGTTTTTTGTCCGACTATTACTCCCAAATAAAGTATATTTTCGGCGTAATCTTGATAATCGGACAAAATATTTAAGGTAAATTGACGGGCCTCTTGGGTGTTGGAATGGAGCGTATGCCCTTCTTGTCATAAAAATTCCGTATTCCGAAAAAAAGGGGTAGTATTTTTTTCGGCCCGAAAGACCGAACACCATTGATTATACAAGAGAGGCAATTGCCGATAACTGTGAAGTATCTGCCGATACCAATCGTAAAACACTATTTCACTGGTGGGTCGTAAAACTAGTGGGGTTTCTATTTTTTTTGCTCCAATTCTTTCTACATAAAAGCATTCGGGGCTAAACCCAGCCACATGTTCTTTCTCTTTTTCTAGTAAATCCAATGGAATAAGGGTCGGCAAAAGGACATTTTGAAC